GTGATTTCGTGGCACACTATCGTCGCTTCAATATTACAAAAGCTAGTCGGAAGATAATGGGGGTACCTGCCACTGGGAACTAATAAATTGATAGCCTAGGTGGTTTGGCATGGACGGAGATATTGGAGTCGAGGCTCGGACGCGTGGTGGCCGAGGCAGAATACCGAAATGATGATGGTTCATATTGTTCTGTTTTAAGGCGGGGATGCGCGTGGAAGCTTTCTCTTGTTTCTATTCTGGGCTGCCGGACCCGTCATGATTCAACACATAGATGCGTCTCGGCATTGTTCCGGCCATTTGGATGGGACGAGGCATACTTGTGCTTCACGGTAGTACCCTGATCCGGCCCGACCCGGCCCCATTCGTGCTCAAGATCCAGTGGGTGTGCGGTGTGTGTCGATTTACTTGGTCCGATAATGAGGATCCATATCATGTCCGGACATCCCGGGAATCTGACTTTGACTCGTTGAATCGCAGCTCTATCCTCAGCCTCGGCTACCACGTGTCCGAGCCCTTGACATCTTCCTGTCAGATTAGACTACAATGTGGCTGTAATGAGAACATGTATTTCGGTACAGATTCCTTGTCCGTCTCCATTTCTTCCAGGGAGATGTAATCTATATACATCAGTTAGGAAATTACTAGACAACTCCCCCGCTATTCCTAGATAAGATACTAGAAGTCGTCAGGTAACAGACGCAAATACGCAATTAGACGCCTCCCGTTGTAATTTATTTCCAATCAGCAGTAAATCCCATCTTTTCTACTGGTCTTTCTCTTCACTGGAAGCTTCATCTGTCTATCTTACCTAAACATCCATTTTAGTGTCTCCATAATTCCTTTACCAATCTCCTCATCTAAGGGAACCAGGAGCAGTCCATCCCTCCGGCCCTCCCTCACAGCTGCAGCACCTCTGATTATTTGAAATTGTCAAGGATTCCCTGGAGGTATCTTGAAGAATAAGCAAACAATTTCGGATAGGGAATTGTTGGTAGGTGCATGGGTATAGATAGCTTTTCAAACTATCAACTAATAATGTACATGTGTGTGTTCATGTCTGCTGTGCTGTGCGGTGCCGATTCAGAGGTCTAGGAAGACGGATGGCCGTATTTGGTGGCAACATTGCCGCCATCACACGACAAAAAGTCTCCAGATATATGTAGAGAGGTCGGTCTATCCTTCCATAGTGATGATATTCAACCTCGCCCCCAATAATTCTTTCGTGAAAGATAATCGCAGCAAACAAGAGGTACCTGAAATGGATCCGTATGGTGGCTCGATTTCCGTCGTGACTGGGACTTATTTTCTCCATCGTCCCCGCCGCCTGCTGTTGGGTGGACCATTCCGTCTGAGATATCACGATGAATTTCTGTTGTTCTTCTCAAGACGTCAATTCATGCTAATTCCACGCTGCCTTTGCAGGCCACGTCGGTCTTGTATGCTATCATCTGCCACGATCTGTGCGCCCTTCTACACCTACATCATGAAGCTCCCTTTCTTCTGCAGTCCTGAATTTCGTGGTTGCCCGTGTATAATCCACACCTCGCTGCACCTCTGCACAATGCTGAATGCTGAATGTGATCTACTGGTTGCAGTCAAGCCACTACTTGAATTGAGCCTTGAGTGAGTAGAGCCGCGCCGTGATTATCAGCATGCTCATGACTATACCCTTCTCCATTATTGCTGTATGAAGACTCTCTGTGACCCTTGTGTCTATGGGAAAATATGGAATAAATTTCATACAAAAATTAGCATTAGCTTAAAGCTTGCGAGACAGCTTTCGCCGTCGCCACCGTCTTCATCTCTCAGCACTGGGGTAAAGACTTAACACCTATACACCGTGTCCTCTACGAGCCTAGGAGCGAGATATTCTCCCAGTGCCAAGTTCAGTCGAATTCCGCGATATCAAAGAAGTTGGCCGACGAGGCAATCATTCAAGATACTCCAAGTCAATTTTTCACTCCCAATAAGATCGAATCCTACCTAAGTCTCATCAAGTCTTCAAGTACGACTTAGTACATCCACATTCCACTGACCACGCCTCTCCTTGACTATCCCTGGCCTCGGCTGGCCACCAAATACACGCCCACGCCGATATCCATACGCGCTAGAGGAAACAAAGCGTGGCGCACAAGTCTGAGAGTCAGTTCTTTTGGAGGGACGTGAGAGTAATCAGGAAAATTTCACAAGCTGATGCAAAAGAAGGATAAAATTTCGCAAAAAAAGAGATTTTGGGTTTGGGAAAGCAGTCTCCCAATTTGAGCATTGTGCGCTACACATGGTCATTTGCAAGAATGCCAGCGATATTACTAACACCGCCGTGGCTGGATGGTGCGGTGGTATATCCTCTCGGCCCGTCTCCCAACTCGAGTCTGGTTGGCTTAGACGCATATCCCATTCGAGACATGAGACTGCTGGTTCGAACCCGGCAAAACTAACTTACATTTCTCGAGGCGCTAGCATGCTTGGATGGCTTAAGGTTTCGAAATTCCCGTTGGCGGGTGCTCACGGAGGAGGGTTGGCTGTTTGTGTAAGCGAACATCCCTCAGTTGTATTTACAAATGAAATCCAGAGCGTGAGTGTCTCTAATGTCAAAAAAGTCATGCTACATGTATACCTAGCACTGATCATGTGTCACAGCTAGATGCACATTAAATAGATTTAAAAAAAAAGGGGCCAACGATGGAAGGTGTTGCAGTTTGCTTTCGGGTGATGTTCTCTGGTATAGTTTGAGGGGGCTGGCCACCTACTCCGCTTGGGAAGGAGACGCCTCAGACCGCATTTCGCACGGAGTCAAGTCAATGGATGATGGAGGCGTGTCTGGATAACTCAGGGTTCTTGATGTGTTTCCCCGGAGGAGAATTTTCGGATGAGGGTTGACTCGGGGTGAAGAGAAAGCCGCCATACCTTCGCAGTAGTACTTGCAAATGAAATGCGGAGCATGAGGGCTCCTCTTCTATTTTGAGTCACGGCTAGATAGCTGCATACGCAATTCAAATCTAATGCCCAAAAAGATAGATCTAGGGGTATTGTAAAAGAGACGTGGAGTGCCGCTGGTAGCTATTAATCGATCGTGCTTAACACCAAAATCCATCGATACTTCGGACCGCACCGCCTCTAGCTGTCTAGGGAAGCTGATGTTAGGGAGATGTGTCGCGCTCCAATGCCTTCCTTTCAAAGTATTCCTTCCTCGTCCCCACGTCCTCTCGACTCGCACAGGAATCGATCCCATCGGAGACCTCATCCAGTCGCTGATGAAGCTTCCAGGGGTTTGCCTCCTTTCTCCCTCGCCGTGATAATAATTCATAGCTAATTAGATATCAATTTCATCGTTGACCGGTTGAGAGCATGCAGGGCATGAGCTTTTCTTACTCACTGTTTTGCTTCTACCGATAGAGGCCTTATTCAATTGTAGAGCGCAGGGTTAGGGCTCCAGTAGCCCGGCTGTGTCTTTTCCATATCCTAGGGGCGTATGGAAGCGGGCCCAATTCATCGAGACTACCGAGTCCCCATTTCCCCTATATGGGATAGACGAGATAGCCAAAGAGAAAGAGCTTACTATCTAGGGCGTTGGTAGAGAAGGGTGATTGGGACGCTGCACTGGTCGAAATGAAGGGGGCGAGCTCTCTGCCTTCTGACCCATGTAATACCCGCACCTTTGGTCTTTAGGCGACTCTTGGACAAGTTTGAGTCGTCAAGGGATTTGAGAGGGCGAGTGGGGGTTGTGAATCAGTTTGGTCCAGCTTAGTGCTCAAGTCATGGGCTTCCTGGCCCACAGGTTTCTGAAAATGAGCCTGTCAAGTGCGAAAGCGAGGCCTAGAGCTCTTGGGCAGGCGCCACAGAGACGAGCCTAGTCCTAACCGCCACTCAGTATAGTTACAGATGAGCCACGAGGGGTTTTGCAACTCTGTGCGAATCGGCGGGGCATGGCAATTTCCCCATGGTGGGTAAAGGAGATGTGAGCATCCACAATCATGCTAGTGGGAAAAACAAAGGCTAGATGCAAGCAAAGAGGGGTCGTGGCAAGCCGATAGAAAACGGAAGGAATATCAGTTTGACCGTATCTGGCCGGCCCTGCGCCATTAGCGTTAAGGGGCAGAAGTACTCTGATTATGGCACGGACCTACTCTTCGCCGTGTGAAGCGAGGTTGAAGTTCGTGAGGAGTTCCGGTCGTGCGCGCGCATGAGCATTCGGGAAAATTGTAGGGCGGAGCGAAAATGAGATCTGCACCCGCCGTTCCGAGCTAGAGGTAGGCCTAGCATAGTCATGTCAGCGCAGTCGTTTACTGAGGAAAGAATTACGTACTTGGATTGAAACCTTTATTTTCCCAGAATCGAAGGCCAAATCGCTGCTACCGGGCTCATCTGCCTTGCTCGCGCCTCTGGCCTCGCGTATTCCTTAGCTTTTGTTTGGGTAGGGGTTGGCGAGTTGCCTTCTAGGGCCGCCAAAGGGAATACCAGTATTAGTGTCATTGTCTCGGGTCATCTATAATGAGTGGTCTATTCGCTGATGCTACATGCGTGCTCTCATCTTCCCCGCCTTACGTTAATGGTAACGTAATCAAAATTTTCGTGTTTCTCTGAGTGCTAATTTCTTTTCACCGTTAAGTAGTTTATCAACTGGTGAAAAACAGAAACACAGTCATGTTTCAGCCCAGGATAATCTGAATTGGTGAAGGTACTAGATGAACTTGATACAAATTTTTCAATCTTTAATATTAAGCAATGTCAAGATTATAATTTACCAATAAAGTACTTTTGTTTCTAGAATTATTATCTAGTGTGACGTACACGTTTCATATCTTTATATTACAGTGGCATAGCGTTCAAATGATTATTCGCTTGCAGGACACATTACATCTACAAACCCCACTTCTCCACTCAATCTCAAACGCAATCATATAAATTATTTAACAATAGACATGAAGAATATAATGGTAAACCGCGACAACTGTGGCTATGATCCTTGTTTAACCCAACTTAGCTCGACAACCCCGAATTTAATGGAGGAACATGAACGCAAAGAAGGTCGACAGAACTAGTGCGAGTGGTGATGAGATCCCGTTGGCATTGTTGGCATCAGCAGGTACAGTAGTAGAACTTGGGCTTGCTGCGATAGTTGAAGTCATGTATGTAGATGACACTATCAAGTTAGAATCGCTCATTGTATTATTTTTAAACTTACCGTGAGGAACTGTGGTGTTGGATGGGCCTCCGGAGTATCCACCTGAACCAGTTGGGTAGGTACCAGTCATTGTGGAGGTTGCATTAGAAATTCTTGAAGTGTAGCTACTCATTCCAGAGGGAGCTGGGTGCCCGGTTCCGGTTCCAGTTGCCCGAATTGGTTGAGATGAGGTCATAGGGTCTGGAGTGTCATCACCGGTGATGGTGAATTGAACAGAGTAGTTTGGCTCTCCGGAGTCAGTTATCTCGAAAGCGTATTTATCTGTCTTAAGGGTGGAAGGTGGAGTCCATTCGTAAGAATTTCCAGTTTGGCCGGCTAGATAATGCGTTAGATTTGTATTTAGTGAGTAACAAGAACCTTACAGGCGATGGTAGAAACGGTCTGAAGGTGAGTAGAGGGTCCATTCTTCAACAATATAGTAACAGGTCCTGATGCGTTCTCCCAAGTTATCTTGTATGGCTCTCCAGCCTTGACATCACTATATTGATCGGCTGTGTTTGTAAGGCGAACTGCCTCAGAGAGGGAGATAAGTGCTGCCACGAAAACTGCTCTGAAGGTCTGCATGATGATAGAGATAATTTAATACACGAAATACAATTATTAATGATGATGTAAATTGCTATTAAATGTGATGAGGATATCTGGAAAGAGGGTGAAGTGAAGATGATGTAGAATAACAGACCGGAATGAAAGAAGTATTTAGCTTGCCACAACGCTGGGACCTAATCACAACTAATCGACGGAGGCGTAGGATCTCATAATTAGGCCGACTGGGGCCTGGGAGCAACGTGTTGAGCCTACATGGATGTTTAAAATGAAATGTGCGGTAAAATGGGAGTCACGGGGTGAAATGTACCAGATCGGATAGCATCCCATACCCCGGTAGAGTGTCTGTCCAGTTCCGGTAGGTACGATGCAAGGGCCCGCCATCATGTCCGCTAGTGATGCCTGCACGAAGATCTCCGTTGCTGCGGTGATAGATTCTCGCCCAACACGTTGGATGTAGGCGGCGAGGGTAGTGCCAGCTATGTTGATATTGTTGAGCGCACATGCGTGGCAACTGGCCCATCCAAAACATGTCCTCTTCCAATGCTGGCTGTATCATTATGGAGTCCTCGGGGTGGACCCAAGATCTTCGGGCCTCATTTCCATCCTCCTGCATGGTTTGCAATAAAGGTCCAAGTCACGTGGACCGAGATGGCCAATGCGGCGATTGATGGCCTGTTCATTACCTAAAATTAAATTGATATGAGTCTTGCTTAACTACATGGGAACGGCGCTCAGGGGGGGGACGATAATTAGACCAAGTCGCAACTCAAATGAAGGAAGAGTAGTGTGGAACATGCCTCACAGTCCAGAGTAGACGGCGTTTGGGGCGGTGGCAATTCCGTGACCAGGACGTGACATTCCCTCCCCAGACGAGCGCGATGGAAATGCCTATAGGATTTTGTTCATCATGCGCTTCTGAAGTCCCGAGCCGACCGAGATAGATACTTGTGGTCTTTCAGAGCATTTGAAAATGAATGATCTCCACACAGCCAGCCAGTCGTCGCTCTGGTCTCTAAGCTTCCACAAGCTCAGCAAGTAGGGCACAAGTTATGGTGGTATTTGGAAATAAGGGCAGGTCAGCGCTGTCGGACTGTCGGCTGTCGTGGGCACAAGCAGAATCTAAAGTCCCTGTCAGCCGGACGAATTAGCATCACTGCTACACGGTCAGTTAACCTATCTGTCCCAATGATACGACGCCTAATTATATTATCTCACAGCGTGCGCGACCATGAAAAGGGCACACACAATTAGGCACGTGGCCACATACACAGTACTCTCAATACAATTAAACAGCCCATATTCCAGCCATGTGTTATTGGTCGGCAGAAGTTCACTCGACGCCGATTGACCATGATCATCACGGTGCAACCTCCATCGAGCTATCAGGTCCCTCTGTCCGTATCAATGACCGTGCACTATTGTAGTCGCGAAAAAAATAAAGTGTCATTGGTATTAGCGCAAGAGTCGACATTACTATAATGCCTTTTAAATCGTCCCATGTTGATACAGAACCTAATGTTATTCAGCTGAGCTGCATAAGGCAGCGTGTATCAGCAGCACCCCAGTGTAAGACTCTGAATCTGTCTGGCCGCCGGTCGAATACAGTGAAAACACTGCCTGAATCATGCCTCCCCATACCTAGTGCCGCATCTTGTGAAATATCATCGAATTCCGTGGCTTTCACCCGTCTCCACAGATAGCGTCGGACTGGACAGGAGAACGAGCAAGTTCTATCTCCAGCGGCTAGAGAAATTCCCAGCTTCGGCCTCCGTTGAAGGCCGAAGGGGAATGGTTGGGCCTGAAGCCATAGTGGGTGGGGAATTGTTATTACCTTCAGATTCTTAGGTTAGCAGGCTGGTAAATGAGGATACGCGCTCTTAGTGCGCTAACCCACCGTTCCTAGCATGAAAGGCGGTAGTGAGTCCAGGGGACATCAGAGTCGTCTAGCCATTCCAGCTTCTTTCAAGGTGCAGCTAGCTCGCATCTTCCTGTACGTACTCAGGCAGTTGCTAGGAATTCTCCGAATGGGTGAGTGCCTGTCGTGGATAGCACACAGATGACTATCTGTACTGTCTGAACCATTTTTTTGCCAATGTGCGACCCATGCGCGCTCGTGGTTTGAGGCACTGTGCCCACTTCCACTATCGTGATCTCGAACTTCTCAGCCTTGGAGCCCCTTACTCTGATTTAGATTGTGCTTGTGACTTCTCGGCGAAAAAAACACTAGACTGGCCATTTTCCGCTGGTTTGAGGGTAGAGCTAAGGCCTCTCCCCGACCTCAATGTGATGGTATTTTCGGTTCGAGTGGGTCTAGATTATTGACCGATGAAAGTTTCTTTTGAAGTTGGTTTTAGCTGCCCAGCCGGATCATCTTTTGTCCAAGACATGGTCAGGGATTAGAGAATCACAATCGATATTTTCAGGCGCATGAGGTGCGGAGGGTGAATAAGAGAAGACGAGGCCGGCCCTACCTCGACATAGCCTTTCCCTATTCCCGATCAACGCGTCAAAGCGTAAGCTATACCAGAAGTTGTGCGAAGACTAGCATTTACAGTTTCCCGCCAAAAGTCGCCAGTGATCAACCGCGCAACTGAGAAAGGATGGGGTGACCAACTCGCTTTCTCGTCGCTCATTGTCCAAATGTTGTCGCGCTACCAATTCATTCATTTGCCAATTCACATTTTCAATAAAGGCGGGCGCTATTTTCACCCCGGCGTCCCTACTATGACAGCTACCAGGCTCAAAGCGCCGAAACTCCAAGCCTAGCGGTGTCTAGTCCTCACTAAGGCGCCCTTTCCTCGTCTGATGGTCCAACCCCTAAGGCTTAGAGAACACGGTCTACTGGGCTAGCTCAAGAGACCCTCAAAGCACATTTCAAGTCACAGCAGACAACCTTAATGGTGAAAGGTACCCCAACCACATTATCAGCACTAGACATGAATAAAACAGAGTAATGTATCTACGTCGCTGCCAAAGGTACTAACCCTAGTTAAGTTATCTCTTGACGATGTTGCAATCTGCCGTGCGCACTTAAACAGTCCCTTCAAAACATGGGTGCATCGTTGGCCAAAAGAAAGACTTCTCTCCATCTCGTCAGCCCTACTAACCTACGCCGGCTCGTCCTCGTCCCTTTCGCGGAGCTGCACAAACATCGTACGAAATTCAAATTTCAATGTTCTAACACCACCCTGATCAAATTGGACTTTAGCTTTGCTCTGAAGTGCTAGGCATATTTGATAGGCCCATGCATTATTCAATGTCATCATTCAGGGGTTAGAACCTGAGAGAGACGGCACTCTCAGCTTTGATCAACATTAACCGTCGGCAAACTATAAATTATCAAGCCTGACTATTTTCACGTTACTCTATAATACCAATCACAATGAAGTTCAAAATCGTAGGTATAACTAACCTCAAACACGAGCCACATTTGTCGCACATGCGTATGTCCACACAACTCTTGGATTCCGAACTGCGGCTAGATGAGCTGGTCCGATGCTGATTGTCCTTCTCTGTGAGAACACTCCTTCCTGTCTGCGTAAACTTAGTGAAAATCTGCAACGAATCATTCATCAACAACCTGGCTATCCTTCGATTCCTCTGTCTGGCCAGTCGTAATGCTATTCATGTTCCCTCGAACCAATGAGGCATCAATTAATTGCGCTGCACTCGCCGATCTTCGCTCGTTTCCAATGCTCAGGCATTTCCGTCCATGTACGAAGAAAAGATGTGGACCTGACTTCATCCCGAGCAAGTTGATAGCAAAGTCTGCTTCTACCATTTTTCTAGCCACTACAAGAACTAACTTGCCGTTCCGCTTCGAGATGTAAGGAATTCCAGCGGGAACGATAATCCTGTCTGTTTTGCTTAATCGATTGCGCAGTTGATCCGACTTCTGATGACTAAGGACCATTAAAGTTCAGCTCTGCCCTCACAACACTCCACTCACCAGGGCGGCATTATTGAACTTCAAAACGTCAATTGACGTATTCAGTGTTTGCTGGTTTTGAAGTGAGGCCTTGCCAGCAATGGTGCCGTCATCGATGCTATTTATTCTACCGTGCTCAGCTCGTCGAATCTGGAGTGAATGTTGCTGTGCCGTTAATCCGTCTTTTCTTCCTTAAAAACTAGGCTCTAAGAATTTAGTTTGGAGTTTGTGATACATTCTACCACGCGCAACCAAATTATTCACTCAATCAAAATTCCACCTTCAACATGCACGGCTGCTTAGCCCTGGTTACTATATTGCATGATATTTGTTCACTCAGAGGCATGCGCTTAGACCGTTCCTTCTCCTTCATCATTGCTTGCTTGGTCATCGTCATCTCACTTTGTGGGACGAAATCTCAACACCTATAAACATTGTACGAGTTGGATGGTGCAGTGGTACACCATTCGGGCCTCTCCCAAGTAGATACTGGGTAGCTTGAACACCTACCCCATTAGAGACAGGAGAAAGCTGGTTCTAACCCAGTAAGACCCATACACCACACTCTCTCGCAGTGAGTGAGTGAGTGTTTATTGTCCTAAAAAGTCTACAACTATGTAAGGACATGTAGGTTCTTTCTGCCTACAGGCCGGGAGTATCTATGCCTCGGGTAGTGTACTCCCTCCTATGCCTCCTTCACGAATTCTTTCCAGCAGTAATACCCCCACAGGTCTTCATTTGAGTACACACTAAGAGGAGCCGTTATCCCGTCATTATCTCCCCTCTCCAGCCAACGAAACGATGGCCATTTGCGGGTGTGTAGCTGCAGGGAAAAGTCTCAAAAACCACTGGGTGCGGGGCTCTCCTATGACAAAGAGGCCGGCCAGCCGGGCGCAGTAGACCTGTGTATACCTAAGAGCGTCTCTCAACCTTCCTAGCCTCCTCCTTACTCCTCCCCTGATTCATGCCGCAGGACAAATCGTAGGTCGTGAAAGGATGTCAGAAAAGTCTTGGTCGAGAGTGACCGTCGCGAAGGAGCCTAGCCTAGCATCCAAAAGTCGTTACGGACGTAGGGTCGTCGAGTAACTCATGTATTTCAGATGCCCTCCTGGCTAGTAGATTCGGAAGTTATGATTAGTAGGGACGATAATGTAGACGAGTCGAAATCTGCTTCTCTTGAGGGCGAAAGGGTCTTTTATTTTGCTTTCGTGGGCTTCTTGTTCGCCCGCCGGTGGGTAGCACATGTTGTGATATAACGAGGGCTTCTCTGACTACCGTTGTAGCGTTTGGTACCGCATTATCTCTCCTCATTCCTAGCATCATTATCGTCGTCTTTGTCGTCTTATGTGTTATCAGAAGCGTATATTCGACGGAGGGGGAGGTAACTCTGCTCAAAGTTGAAAAGGTGTTACTCAATCTCGGCTTTGTAGACTTTACAGTGAGAGCTGGAGGTTCGTAGGGGACACCACTGACAGGTATTGAGAATAGTCCCCCACTCTCTCGCGGTAATATTGTACTTGTGAGATGATGAAAGCACACTCGGATAGCCACAGCTTTTTCAAGCTTTTCCCTTTGTTGGGTACTTACGGAGGAGAGTCAACTGTTTGTGTAAGCAAGCATACCTCATACTGGTATTTCCGAATGACATCCAGAGTATGAGTGTCCCTAACGTCAAAAGAGTCATCCAACATGTATACATAGCACCGGTCATTTGTCATAGCTAAATAGCTGAATAATTAGGGAAATAATGACCCCTCAGTCATTGAGGTCGTAGAGCGCATTGATTCAAGTAACTACCGAAGTGGAACTAAGTACAGAATTTGTAGTCACGCGTGTGACAACAACGTGGCCTACTTGATATCCCCAATTATTCTATATTCTAACGTGAATACGCGTTAAATGATACTTAAAAGAAAACCTTACACTCACACAAGTGAGGCCTGGAGACCAGAGCTACGCGAGGTGAACCTGTTTATTTGTGTCTCCCTTCCTGGTAACGTCAGAGGACAAGTTGATCCAATTCACCATCTTGGTATCGGTTACTTGGTATACTCCGGCAGCTCTGTGGGTAGTTTCTTCTGCATAGCCAAAGGTAGGTGATGAGAAGGGCTTAGAACCTACCATTTAACTCGATCTTGGTTATATTCAAGACACTGTGGCTTGGGGATTGTATTGAGATGTTTTTTATAATTTTATAGTCCTATTTTGGTCAATGATCGTGTGGGGCTTACAGATCCGCTCTGCCTATAGGCCAAGGATACCTATGCCAGTAGTATATCCCCTCCTATGCCTCCCATACAGCTCCTCTCAAATAGTACCGCCCCTCACAAGTCCTCATTCCATCATACACTAAGAGGAGCCCTTTGCCCTTCATCATCTCCCCTCTCCAGCCAAAGAAACGATGGCCATTTGCGGGTGTATGGCAGCCGGGAAAAATCGTAAAAGCCACTGGGTGCGGAGCTCTCCTAATACCGATATTAGGACTAGATCCGAAGATATAGTGACCCTTCTGAAGCGTTCAAAGAGGCTGGCCAGCTGGGCGCTGCAGACTTGTGGGTACCTCGGGAAATTCACTCTCTGCCTTTCTAGCCTCCTTCCAACTCCTTCCCGGAGGTCGTGCTGAGATGAAAGAAAAGCCTTGACAGAGCGTGATTGCTGTGTGGTTGCTTCGCCCAACTTCTTTTGTGCCATCCAGGGAGCTGGGGAGTGCCGTTGAGTCACCGACAGAAGAAGCCCTCCTGGCTAAGTAGCCGAAATCTCGGTCATGGCGCCCACAAACATTCCATAGATGAAAACCCCTCGAAAATATCGGTTCCAGCATGCCCTTCATAGACCTGTTCCCCCTCTCGCCACAAATATTAGCCACCTGTTCCTCCTCAAGTTGTTTGTCCTATTAGAGCAACAGTCCCCCGTAAGCCAAGACCCAGGCTTTGTATTTTTCGACTTGATTTCCTCCTTGCGGGTAAACGTAGCGTCATAAATATGTAGCAAGAGATGGTTGGAGATTAATGGGGCAAGCTCCTGTATGCAATTGGAGCAACTTCTTTATTAGTCGTTGAGGCGAGATGATGCGTAGTTAGAGAGAGAGAGGTTAAGGACTCGGAAGATAGCGGTGAGTGCTGCATAATAGAGAAGTCGTCATTTGGAGATATGGCTTTATTTACTCTCGACTTCCATTCGGATGCGATTCTTCTTGGCTATCCCAGATGTGCAGAGCATACTGAGCGATTACACCGGCACCACTGGAAGGTGAAGAATTCGTCTTTGCCGGCGCCTACAATTCAATGATACCTCTGCCAGTAGTATACCAGTCTAATGCCTCCTATACAGCTCTTCTCAAATGTTACCACCCCTCACAAGTCTTCTTTCGATCATATACTCAGTAGATCCCTTGCTATTCATTATCTCCCTTCTTTTTTTTTGAAACCATTTCATGTGTATTAAGCTATTTAGCTATGACAAATGACCGGTACTATGTATACGCATTGGATGACGCTTTTGACGTTTAAGATACTCATACTCTGGATTTTATTCGTAAATACCACTATGAGGTATGTTCGCTTACACAAACAGTCGACCCTCCTCTGTAAGTACCCACCAAAGGGAATTTCAAAACCTTTAGTTATCCAAGCATGCCTTCGTCATCCATGCATACCAGCGCCGCGAGAAATGTGGTTGTGTTTTGCTGGATTTGAACCAGCGATCTACTGTCTCAAGTGGGATATGTGTTCAAGCTATCCAGACTCTACTTGGCAGACCGGCCAAGACGATGTACCACCGCACCATCCAACCATGGCGATGTTTATAGTGTCGCCTGCACTCTCGCAACCGAAGTCTTGGCACGCACAAAGCTCAATTTGTAAAATCTCCTTGCCAAAATTCGAAATTTCACGCCAGTCGAGACTGTATCCATCCTCTGCATTATCTTATCAACTTGTCGTTGTTCCTCTCACGTCTATCCCAAAGAAAAGTCTTCCAGATTTGTGCGCCACGCTTTGCTTCCTCCGTCGGGTATGAATATCGGCGTGGGCATGTATTTGTCGGCCAGCTGAGGGTAGAGAAAGTCGACAAGAGGTGTGTTCATTGGAATGAGGATTGCTAGGTCGTACTTGTAAACTTGATGAGGCTTAGGTAGGAATCGATTTCGTTGGGAGTGAAAGATTGATATGGTGGAGTATTTTGAATCATTACCTCCTGGGTCAACTTGTTCGGTACTGCGAAATCTGACTAAACCAGACTCTGGGCGAACATTTCACTCCCAGGTTTGTAGAGAACACCGCGTACGGGTGTTCAGTCTTGCCCTAATCTGGGATTTTGTCACGTTGTGCAAATCGTACACATCACGGCGGCCCCAGTAAGCATATCTTTACACCTATCAGATCATGGATTGTAATTGGCTGTATTACTTTGGCGCAAGACCTTAACGTAAAGTACTAAGTCCACATTAGCTTCAAGGCCGATCGAGTCAGGGATCATAGTGCAGAGACCCAAGTCACTGGTGCGCATGGATCGTCAACATATCCAGCAAATAAAATTCGAAAAAAATACGAAGCAAATTAAAAGCATAGTAGTTTTCGCGCTAGGATGCCCAGATGGGTTCCCTTAGTTTTTCCTTCGCATCAGTTTTGAATTGCGTATGCAGCTATCTTGCTATGACATAATATAAGAAAAAAGTATAGAATAGATAATTCAATTTGAAAGGAGATTACTCATGTCTTGGATTTTACATACATATAACACTGAGACGTTCTGCTGACTCTCTCTCTCTCTGCCCCAAGTCAACCCTCATCCGTGAATACCCACCCAGGGAATCGTCTCAAACATCACGAGTTGTCAAGATCTGCCTTCATCATCATCCATTGACTTTTGCACCCTCACTGTCCATTAGAGCAAATTGGAAAGTTGTCAAATTTGAATCTGCAAATCTAGCTAGTTTCTTTCACATATACTCTGGGAGTCCTCTATAGTCATTGACTCGATTAGGC